TCTGAGAAAAAAGTCAGAATTCTGAGATTAAAGTCAGAATTCTGACATTAAAGTCAGAATTCTGAGAAAAAAGTCAGAATTCTGAGATTAAAGTCAGAATTCTGACATTAAAGTCAGAATTCTGAGAAAAAAGTCAGAATTCTGAAATTAAAGTCAGAATTCTGAAATTAAAGTCAGAATTCTGAGATTAAAGTCAGAATTCAAATAATATTTTCATGGTGGCCCTAATCCTCTTCCGTACAATCAAGATGATGTCAGTTTCGCAGTTTTTTTTTAACCTCTTTTCTTCACTACAAAAACAAGATAATTATACTTTAATATGCACATCCTTGTAATAGGTAACTACGATCTTCTGATACTGCAGGATCTGAATAACATTCCAGGTAATGACAATTAAAATCACAATGCCTCTGCAGTCGAACATGGTCCTTTCTACAGTATTAAAAGTGATAATATTCACTACGTGTGGAATAACACCAATCACCAATAGCTGAACTTAGTTAACTCGCCATCTACTGGATAACTGAAATACGGAGACTTATTCATCTTTTCTCTGCATGCCCCCCCCCAAAACAAATCAAACTATGGAGTCATAATAGTGCCATATATACTTGTATGATGTACTTTCTAATTTGCACCCGTAAAATGAAATTTGCTCGCTCTGAACACAATTTTCATTCGCAAAATACTGAACAGAAATACGCATCACGTGATCTGTACTTGTATATGAAGATTTGTGAATGAACGTGAAAAACATTTTGCAAATACACGTCAATATTTTTTGTAAATGCGAAACCAAATATCTTAATTCATAAAAATATTTTTTACAAAAAGAAAATGGTTTTCAAGTACAAAACCTGTATTGCAAATCCAAGTCCTCATGCAAATACCAGCTTCGAGTGCAAATCCACATTTGCGCACATAAATAATTTTGGCACTAACTTGCCTAACGCTTTGCAGATAAATATTTGCTCGCATAGTCACCAATCAAATTAATTCATTTTCTAGCCATGCAATCATTTCACCAAAATACTTACATTTTTTATTTCACCGTTCTGAATATGTATGTTTTTCTCTTGCTTAATTACGTGTAGCAACTTTGTCCTACCTGTATGTCTTTCGCGCACAAAAAACGCTCCAGCCAGAGCTTTTGAAGTACCGTGGTGCGGTGCTGGACGTAAGATCGTTTCTGGCGCGCTGCTGATAAAAGTTTCTCACTTATAAATTTTAAGTGAAATTTGGGTACAGTTAAGCTGGGAAATTATTGGGGGTAATATTTAATTTGGTTTAATTGATCTTTCGGGGATTTGGGGTTGTTAAATTGGGGTTTTATTTCGTGGGAAGTATGCTAATATTTTAGCCGCTAGCATGCTGGTTTAGCTCGCAGGTGAGGACGGAGCCACCACTCAAGATATGCATTCTTGTGTTCTTATTAGGGGAACTGGAAGTGCGAGGTAGCCAGAACGCACAGCTCATAAATGTTATACGTTTACAGGTAGGGAGGAAATTTCTTTGTATTTGAATGTATTCGAATTGGAGCCAGATTATGTGTGTAAATTTATGATAAAGTGAAAATATGTGTATTAAGTTTTCTTTTCTCGCCAGAGCTCTGAAATGTTTAGGAGATGTTTTTCTGTTTTTTTTTCCGGAGTTTTGTGTAAATTTAGCCTTGTGGTATAATTTAACCAGAGCTTTTTTTACACGACTGGAGGGGAGCTGGGAGTGCGGGGTAGCCAGACTGCACAGCTCATGAATGTTATACGTTTACAGCCAGTAAAAGTCTTCAGACCAAGCACGGTGTCCGGTCATTTTTGCACGCCAGAACACAACGCAGGAGGAATTGCGGGCGGGACGGACTACCACGGGTCACACATGCTCCCCTAGAAGAAGAAACTAAAGACAATCATTAAAAAAATAGAAATAATGGCAACATTTAGAGTAGTCAAATAAATATAGTATAGACTATAGATTCCTTCATGCATAAGGTATTATGAGCATGGCTATAAATATTTATAAAAAAAAAAAGGCATAAAACATTATGGGCATGTTTGTCATGCATTATGAATGCTCTATGAAGCTCTCATCTATAAGGCCACTTAAAATTAATAAATTGTTTTACATGACTCAAACTTATAAAATATTGGTGAGTAGGGGATTTTATATTTTATATTTTTAGCGAAAAGACGAACGGCAACAGAGATATACTAAAACTAGAAAATTAAACTTTATTCTGTCAGTGTCTCAACATTTTAAACTCTNGAGCCGACCATTCGGCATAACGATTGGTTAATAATCAGCATTAAATAATAATTAATTAAACTTTAATTAATTTCAAACATATTGGTGGAGATATTAAAAATTACCTGAGCTAATAATTCCTACATAGACAAAGAACATAATGAGCGAGTAGCAAGGACAGAAAGAAATATAAAAATAAGAAATAGGAAAGCTATAAATGAATGAACTAAATTAACATAATTAGATTAACTAGGGAAATCCCTCAACAGAGAACTATTGCAGATAGCAACTGGTGGCGTTGTAGAAGAAATCTGCAGTGTAGATGGTGAAAAGAAATGGACTAAAACCATTCCCTGTGGGGCTCCTTGACTGTGACACTGTCAGACACACAGTCCCAGGTCCTCACATACTGCAGTCGGTTGGTGAGATCCAAGATCCATGTGGTGAGGTGGTGGTCTCCTCCTATGTACTCCATCTTGTCCCTCAGGATTGCAGGTAGTATGGTGTTAAAAGCACTGGAGAAATCAAAGAACGTGATTCTCACAGTGATCAGAGAATTTTCCAGGTGAGAGACAGATTGATGTAGGAGGTGGATCACAGTATCATCTACCCCAATGCCAGACTGATAGCCAAACTGAAGTGGGTCGAGCGATGGGCTCACCAGGGGCAACAGATGAGCAAGGATCAATTGTTCCAAGGTCTTCATTAAGTGGGAGGTCAGAGCCACTGACCTGTAGTTGGTAAGGTTGTTGGGTTGTGGTGTCTTCGATGTTTTCCTTAGTTGTAGCACTCTCCCCAGCTTCAGGCTCAGGATGATGATATACTCAACTATCCCACATAGTTGTTCTGGGGAGGATTTCAGAAGACTTGAGCTGATGACATCTGGACCCGTTGCCCTTCTTGCATTGATCCTTCTGAGCTCCTTCCTAACCCAGGTCATTGAGAGCGACAGGCTGAAGTAGGATAATTGTGTGCTGGAGGTTGTACTTGAGGGAGAGGGGCAGTGAGCAGGTAATGTAGTAGAGATATGAGGTGAGAGAGGTTAAGTGGTACCTTGGGCGGGGCCTATTTTTGTGGGCGGGGCTTAAAGCTATCTCCCATATGTGACGTCATAAGCGGGAGGTGGGCGTATCCTTTGTTCTGATTGGCCGGTGGGGAGGGGGGGTTTTGGCCAATGGGGAGGGGGGGTTTTGGACAAATGGTATACATGCTTATGCCACATGCTGCCGATAGGGGGTCGTTAGTGATGGCAAAACAAAGCTTTCCAAAGCACTGAAGCTTCCTTTTCAAGTGTGTCGAAAAATGGTTCAGTACTCGNTGCGTATTGACGATGGCGCACGTGCGTATTGACGATCTCTGCGTATTGACAATCTCTGACAGTTTTTGAGGTGAAAAAAACGGATTTTTTGAAAAATATAAAATATAAAAAAAAATTGAGGCGGCACCAAAAAATTGAGGCGGGCGGCCATGTAAAACAATTTATTAATTTTAAGTGGCCTAATGCACTATAAGTACCTTCATAATGCATTATAATGGTCAGTATAAAAATTAAGGATGCTTTGTGATGCATTATGAAGATATTTATAATGCATTAAAGATGAGAGCATCATAGAGCACTG